CTCCTCCCCCCTCTCATAGCCCCTGGCAACCAGCATTCTACTTTCTATTTCTATGAATTTTGACTATTCTAGAGTGGAATCATACAATATTTGTCTTTTTGTGATGAGCTTATTTCACTTAGCCTAATGTCTTTAAGAATATGTCAGAATTTCCTGCCTTTTAAGCCTGGATAATTTAAAAGTTTTTAAAAATTGTTTTCAATTTTTGCTGTGGTTCTCCTGTTTATTGTTTGTTTGTTTTGGTCCTATGAGTTTTCTCTGATTCTTTTAGCCATATTTTAGTGGAGTTTCAGGAAGTAGAAATAAACTTGTTTGCCCAACCTGGTCCTTAATAGGAAACCCAAATTCTATTTATAAAATGTGGGGTTTAAGGACATATTCTTCGTTGCTTTTTAGAATCTCTTCGACTTTGCAAGACCCCTTAAAGTAGAATAGAATAATGAATTTGCATTTAGTTCTCAGTTAGCCAAAGAAAAACTTATGCTTTGATATTAAGTAAAAAAAGTTACTTCAAACACCTTTTTTCTTCAGCACTAATATAAGCTCTGCCTTGGGGAATCTAGTGTAGTGGATCTCAAAGTCTGGTTCCCAGAACCGCAGCCTGAGTATCACTTGGGTATTTGATAGAAATGTGAATTCTTTTTTTTTGAGACAGGGTCTCGCTTTATTGCTGGGGCCAGAGTGCAGTGGCATCATTGTAGCTCACCTTAACCTCAAACTCCTGGGCTCAGTCGATCCTCCTGCCTCAGCCTCCCAAGTAGTTGGGACTACAGGTGCAAGCCACCATGCCCGGCTAATTTTTCTATTTTTTTTTTTTTTTGTAGAGACAGGTTCTTGTTAGTGTTCAGGCTGGTCTGAAACTCCTGGCCGCAAGCGATCCTTCTGTGTAGAATTCCCAAAGTGCTAGGGTTACAGGCGTGAGGCACTGCACCTGGCCAGAAATGTGAATATTTGGGCTTCACCTCAGACCTACTGAACTTAAAAATCTTGGGGTGGGGCCCAGCAACCATGCTTGAACCAGCCCTCTAGGTGACCCAGATACTTGATAAAATTTGGGCACAAGTAGTCTTCTAGAGGCAACCCTTTGCAGAGCTGCGAGTAGAAATTAAACATTTTATTTAGTCTCAGTTCAAACGTTTATGATATTTTCAGGTTATGAGGTGACTTTTAGCAGACATGTTGTAAAGTGTCTATACCACACCTGGGATTTTGCTCTCTGAGGAAGAAGCAGGCCTTAACACGTCTTTATACTACTTGACCACATCCTTATCCTGCATCCCACTGGCCACATTTACTGGACCACCTCGGTTAAGGCCAGGCAATCCACTGGATGGTCATGACCAACTAATTAGATTCTCTCTCTTGAGAATATGAATTAGAGACATCAAAACTATAGTCAGTGCTAAAATACTAAAGATATATGAAACTGAGACTGATGGTCACAGTGGGCCTTGTGCAAGCACAGCCCTTGAATCCTTTCAATTGCCTCCTTTTTTCCCTTGAGTGGGTATGTATTTCTTGCACCAAAGAGACTTGATCAGGATACATCTTAACTATCGACAGAACATGCTGCACGATTGATTTGTCATAGTTATTATTCTACATTGTAAATATTGCCCAAACCATTGGCTTGTCCTTGCTGTTGCCTTGTTTTGGCAGCTACACACATGCAAATTAATGTCTCTGTCCACTATCTGTTTAATTTCTCTGTGTGAAAACAAATTCAGTAGCACTCTTATTTCATTTCAATGCTGAGCTCTCAGAGTTCTTTTGCAATTGCTTCTAGTCTGATTCTCTGAGAAATTAGTGCAAATTGCTTTGTGAATCAACAACCAAAGAATCAATATCAGTTATGTTCTTTTAAAGAATTTAAGATAAATAGTCCCCATAAGCCACTGTCACTGCACTCCAAAGTCAAAGGGAAGTATTTTGAAAATAAAAGGAAATCATACAATATTATCAAAAAGGTTATGTGGTTGTGAATAAAAGCCACAGTATGATTTGAGTAGTGAATGTTTATTCTGAGAACAATACTAAAATAATGGGAATATTAGGATCAAGCTTTACTTTTTCAGGTCGTGGCTATCGATTTAAGAATTGATGCAAATAAAAATTATCAGAGCTGTTTGCAAAGATATTTTAAATCCAATATATCTTCTTTTAGCTTTATGCTATTGTAAATCTTCCAGGATGGGAAAAACCACACAGGTCATCTAATCCAATTATGCATTTCATGCTTGAGTCACTTCTATAGTCCTAAAGAAATGAGAGCAATACAACCCTGGCATTGAGGTTGATGACAGAAAGCTATCTACCATCCCTCATATAATAAATATACAAAAAGAAATGAATTTGGAAACATAAAATGTAGGATGCTTTTTATTTTTATTTTTTTATTTGAGACAGAATCTCGCTCTGTTGCCTGGGCTAGAGTACCCTGGCGTCAGCTCACAGCAACCTCAAACTCCTGAGCTCAAGCGATCCTCCTGCCTCAGCCTCTTGAGTAGCTGGGCCTACAGGGATGCACCACCATGCCTGGCTAATTTTTTCTATTTTTAGTAGAGACAGGGTCTCACTCTTGGCTCAGGCTGGTCTTGAACTCCTGACCTCAAGCGATCCTCCCACCTTGGCCTCCCAGAGTGCTAGGATTACAGGTATAAGCCACTGTGTCTGGCCCGGATGCTATTTTAACATATGGCTCTTGTTGAAGTTTAGGGAAGTAGTGCTTTTGTCTTCTGTCATTCCTGAGGAAAAGGTGTTAAACACTGTGGCAGAGACTGATAATTATCCCCAGACTTGGTTCTCCTTAATCCCCAAATGTTTGCTTGGCACATGACTGCTCAAAATATACATTACATTTCCAAACTTTCCTTATAGCCATGTGTTTCAGTTACTATTGCTGTGAAACAAATTACCCCAAAACTCAGAGGCTTAAAACAACCTTTTTATTATGCTCACAGATTCTGTGAATCAAGACTTTGAACAAGACATCCATCACAGGACTGGCTTTTTCTGTTATGCTGGCTTGACTTCTACCATGGTCTGTTGGTTAAAGAAGTCACAAGGCCATTCAGATTCAAGGGGAGGGGAAATAAGACTTCAACTCATGACGGAGTAGTGGTCAGATCACACTGTAGAAGAGCACATGGAATAGGAGATATTGTTGCAGTCATCTTTGGAAAATGCAATCTGCCACACCATAGGTATGGCCACGTTGACTAAATTCTGGCCAAGAGGATAGAAGAGAAATTGGTGTATTTAACTTCCTAGAGGTAAAGGGTGTATGTTTGGGGGAGGGGAGAGGAAGGGTAAGTTCCCCTCTCTTTTTCACTTCCCTCTTGGCTGAAATACGGATGAGATGACTTGTGGTGTAGCAGCCATTTTGGACCACCAATTGAGGATTACAGAGCAATGACCTGGAAGGAGCCTGGGTCCCTGCTGATCATGGAGCACCACACCAACCTGAACTGCCTCTGCTAACATTACAGAAAAATAAAATTCTATCATCAGCTACTGTGTTTGCATTTTCTGGCACATTTGAGCAAAGCTAATCATAATTAACACAAATATCATCATAAATGAAGACAGATGATACAAATGGATCTTATATTATCAGATCCATAAATTAAAAATGCTTACATGGTGCAGAGTTTGACTAATAGTGCGCTCCAAGCAGTGACATGTGAGACTCACTGTATCTTATAAAAGTTTACTTTTTAAAATGCTTGACACAATTAGAAGCACTTTACTACTGTATGTTTAAATATAATTAAATGCATAATTGGATTATTATTACAAAGTTGATAAGAAATGGAAATAGAAAAAGACATTCACTCATGGAGGGAATAAAAGATGGATCATAAGCAAAGGGTTAATATCACGATGCATTTTATAAAAGGGCCTAGTTTGTTACATCTCTGGTTTCTAGTCTTTGAATTTCCCTAGTCACGTATTTACTCTTGTGTGGGTGGAAAGATAAATGAGAATAACTTAGGGAGCTTGCTCTTAAACTATTTTATTTACAATGATAACGGTCATCTTAGAAAATGAAGAATGTGTATTTAAACAGCGTTTAATTGACCAAAGACAATTTTGTCTACTTCAAAATTGTAAACATTTGCAGAGTAAGCCTCATTTCAAAGAGTTCTACTTTAAGAGCACCCATTTGTAATACTATTTCTTTTTACAATGAAGTATTCCAATTTGTGGAGATATAATTCAAAATCACTCAGAGCATAGGAGAAAGTTTTAAAATAAACAATAAAAGCCTCATTCTGCACTATCCTGTTTGAAGGGCATCAAATAACTTTGATAAGTGCCTCACAATAAATGGTGCCTTTGTCTCAATAAACAGTGAATGCGCTGCGCGCACAATGGAATAGTATCAGTATCAGTGAGACAAAACATCATAAACAGGATAGATGGGAAAGGCTGGATAACATGCGGTGAAAGAAAAAGATGTCACAAAAATCGGGTACTATTGCTTTGGCCAAAAGAGGACCAGTACCGCTGTCCACGACTTCAAACAAAAGACATTAACAGCTTATCAATGCAACTAGATTCTGGGAGGAAAATAAAATGCCACCACTAAGGCGGAAGCTGAAGTTTCAGAACGAATCGTGGGCACCAGCTCCGCGTGGGTTCACTGTGGCGAATGACGTGTGGGAATTCGTGCGACAGGCCCGCCCGGTCCCCGCCACGCGGACAGGTGGACACCGGGCGGCCTCGCGCGGGCCCCACGTCCCGGGCGCGTGTCGGAACGGCGCTCCCAGCCAGCGCGCCGGCGCCCGCCAGCGTCTCCGCCTTGCCAGGGTCTGGGCTGCTGATGCGCGGCGCCCGCCGGCGGAGGTTGCCATGGTTTCCGGAGGTCACGTGGGCGCGCTCTCCCGCGCTCCCTCCCGCGCGCCGCGGCGGGGCGGGGGCGGGGCGCCCGGGCGCGGAGAGGCGCGGCAGCGGCGGGAGCGGGAGGAGCTGGAGATGCTGCCAGCCCTCCCGGGGCCGCGCTCGCTCAGCCGCCGCCGCTCGGAGCAGCTGTGCGCCGGGAGCCGCGGGCCGGGCCAGCCGGGCCGCCGGGGCCCAGTGCACCGCGCTCGCAGCCGGTAGCGCCGCTAGCGCCCTTGGCGCTCGCTCGGCAGCTGCGGGGCCCGAGGCCGGACCGCAGAGGGGGCGAGGGCGGCGCCCAGGCGCCCGCCGCCCCGGAGGCAGGATGAGCATCGAGATCCCGGCGGGACTGACGGAGCTGCTGCAGGGCTTCACGGTGGAGGTGCTGAGGCACCAGCCTGCGGACCTGCTGGAGTTCGCGCTGCAGCACTTCACGCGCCTGCAGCAGGAGAACGAGCGCAAAGGCATCGCGCGCTTCGGCCATGAGGGCAGGACCTGGGGGGAAGCGGGCGCCGCTGCCGCGGGCGGCACCCCCAGCAAGGGGGTCAACTTCGCCGAGGAGTCCGTGCACTCCGACTCCGAGGAAGGGGAGGAGGAGGAGGCGGCGCCTGCGGACGCGGGGGCGTTCAACGGTGAGGACCGGACCCCCTTCGCGCCCTCGAATCCTCTCGCTGCCCACCACCGTTCCCCCCTTGGCTCCTGAATCCTGCAGCTTTGCCCACCCTCCTCTGCCCCGCGTTCTCAGTCTTCCCTACCTTCCCATCTCGCCCACCCCCTCAGCATCCATTTCTGTCTCTCCCACTCGCCCACCTTCCTACTCTGCTCTCTTGTCATACCCTCCCCCTCCTCTGGGGGTGGGAGAGCTGAAAGGTTACGGTTCCCCCTGTCCATCTGCCCCCTCTCTTCCTGGGCCGGTTTGGGGTGGGTATCTGCTGAAAGACAACTTTCACTGTGGTTGGCGATATTTCGCTTGGAGGGTACCATTGTGAAAGGAAACCGGCCCGCTTGGCGTCTTCTTTCAGCCTTTATATTTATTAATGGAGTGTCCACAAAGAAAAGGCTAAGGGTGTTAAATTTGATTTGGTTTACTGTTGTAGGACGGTAGATTCACTAAAAGGAGCATGAAATTGGATTCACTGGGGCAGAACAAAATTTATGGTAATAGCTCTGACATTGTTGGAAATAGAGTAATTTATTATTTTCCAATTTACCAATACCATGTCGTGTTATTTTTGGACACACAACAAAGGATCCTATTTGGTCTGAAACCCACCAGGTCTTTGGAACGAGGAAATGGGCTAATGCCTTGCTTTTTATATAAAACACCTATTGAATGATTTTTTTTTTAAAGCATGTGAAAAAACACTGTAGGAAGTTCTGAAAGCTTGTTGGTTGTCTTTATAATGAAAAGCCAGTGAGTAATTTTTAGGACCGTGCCAGACACTGAAGCTGGAAAGAATGAATGGGAAAGAAAAAGGAATTTTCTCAAATAGCTGCTCCTAGGAAGTCCCACCCCTTCTGCTTACTACCCCTCTTTCCATAACACACCCAGACAGACACACACATTTACAGCCTCCTGTATTTACACAACATTGCCTAAATCCCATTTGTATGCCATCCCAAGCTAAAATACTATGGAGTGCAAATATTTTTTCTTTGTGGTGTAAGGCAAACATGCATGCAGCATTGCACCAGCTTTTATTTATTTACACTGCTTGTGGTTTGTGTGTCTGCAGTGCATTTCATGTAATGAAAACATTTTAAAGTGTCATTTCATTTCTTTATGTACCTAGGAAGATGTTTCTTTTCTTTGCAGAATTGCATGATGAAATGGGTTTTAAAATTAATGTATTTTTAGCTTGTCCAAAACAATCACAAAAACCCTGGAAATTAGACCTCTGTGAAGATAAAAGAGAAGATTGTTACTTAAAATGTTAATTTTGGACTCTTAAATATTTCCCAGGAAAGTATAATCATAGTCTTAATTGTTCTTTTTCACAAGAATTTCATCAAATGCTTTCCTTACTAGAAACAAAAGATAGATGAAAGAATATGTATTTTAAATAGATGAGAAGGAGAAGCCAATAATGGGTGGCACAGAAAGGGCAGAGGCTTGTAATACTTCTTTTATGCTCCTGTCACATGCATGCACACATGTACATGTGTACACACAAAGAAAAAAAAGGACTTCTTTCCCAAATTGAAGGAAACCAGCAACTAAGGGAATTGGTAAAGAACCTATATATATTCCATAATAATAGGTTATTAAAATAACTAAAATATTTTGTTTGTATAATGTTTTTGAAGTACTTGCATTGATGATTCCAATTTCTACTTAGGACTGTGTATATTGTGCACAGAAGAGATATAATTTTCATTTTGCAATGAAGATATAAGCCATTAACTTCTAAACAGTTGGGTTCATTTTATATGGCTTTATGTTCTCCAAGATACCTTTACTGTAAAAATTACTCAATGTGAGTTTTAATAAATACTTGTTAAACAATTGCACTATTTATTCCCTAGCCCTACCTCCAAGGACTTCAAAACTTTTTGACTGCAACTAAATGCAATCTGATCATTATCCAGTAGACACATATGTGTGTGCATGTATAACTGAAACTTTGGCAGCAGTGCAGGTACTTCCTTCTATCAGGGGCAGTAGTTTTTGATATTTTCTATTCTAATCAATTCTGTTTCTCTATTTTAAAGTAAATTATTTTGGGACCCACAGTTTAAAAACAATTATATGCTACAAAGTGGTTGGCAGACTTTTGTAAAGGACCAGACAGTAATTTTTTAGATTCCGTAGACAACATATGGTCTTGAGCACATCTTTTTCTTCTTCTTTTTTTTTTGAGACAGAGTCTCACTCTGTCACCCTGGGTAGAGTGCAGTGGTGTCATCACAGCTCACTGCAACCTCAAACTCTGGGGCTGAAGCGATCCTTTTGCCTCAGCCTCCTGGGTAGCTGGGACTACAGGTGTACGCCACCATGCCTGGCTAATTTTTTAATTATTAGTAGAGATGAGGTCACACTCTGGCTCAGGCTGGTCTCGAACTCCTAAGCTCAAGCAATCCTCCTACTGTGGCCTCCCAGAGTGCTAGGATTACAGGCATGAGCCATGGCCCCCGGCCTCTTCTTCTAAAAACAATCATTTAAATATATACCCCCTTTGTGGGTTGGAGCTGTACAAAACTGGCCAGAGGTGGAACAAAAGTCAAAATAGTTGAAGGAAAAAACCAGGAGTAAGCCTAAAAAACGTAAACCTATTGGTGTAATGTCTGTGTGTAAGAAAGTGCCAAAATATAACAAAAATACCAGATACCGGGTAATTCTGGTGTAGTAAAGTATAAGTATTAAAACACAAGTCTTAATTTACTGTGACATAGCACAATACCTGCTGGATCAATAATTCTTAAGTTTTTGTATGCCTGTCAAGAAAGTTTGAGTCCAACTCAAATTTGAGAAATGAACATTACCTGGTACCATTTTTGGAGAGCTTTCTTGAATAGCCTGTGTTGGACATGGTATCTTTTTCTTTTTTCCTCAACAGACATCCCAGATCATTCTGATATCAGTAATTCCCTGACTGTACTTTGAAAAACGTTGATCAGATAGTGATGATATTATCTTTTTATCTTATTAGCAATAATTGCCATTTATTGCCATTACTGTGTGCTAGGCGCTGTTTAAGTGCTGTGGTTCCTTATCCCAGCTTTATGAGAAAGATGAGGCTGTCACTTGCCCAGTGTTTCACAGGTAGCATGCTGCAAAATCAGGATTGGGACCCAGGTATGCCTGGCTTCATCCCTGTGCTCTTAACTACCTGGTTACATCTCCAGAAGAGGCTACAGCTAGCATAACCTTCATATCCCTTGTATGTCAAGCTCTAATTGAGACCCTTAGTGTGTTTTATTTTTAAGGCCCTGAAAAATTAACTTTTCCAAGGTCACACATGGGAACTAATAAGTAGTGGAGCCTGGTTTCTTACTCTCATCTTTTTGACCTTGAAGCCCAATGATATTTGTTCTATAGGCCGATTCACAAGTCAAGTTTTCCTGGTTATTTTTGCCCTAATGGCGATGGATTTGCATCATTGGTTCTTATAGTCTGCCATGAATCCCTCTAACGTAAGTGATGGTATTTATGAGAGGCTGCTGTTAAAAGACAAGGTTTGATGGTGAAACTAGTACCTGTTAATTCATGTAGGGATCAGGCCTATGATCTTTACCTCAAATTGTGGTCACATAAGCCAGGTACCTGCAGTCAGTTGGAAAAATGTGGTCTGGTCCAGGGTTCAGTGATGTTTTGAGGGCCAGGTGGCACTAGGCACCCATAGATGGCACTAGGCCAAATAGATGGGTGAAGGTGGTCTTTACTTCTTTCCTATCTTTCCAAAGGATCCCTTCCTCTGCTGTTAGCTTTCTTCTCCCTCCTCTATTCTCTTCTGATTTTATCAATTCTAATTATTACTTTCCATTTACAAATATTAACTCTGGTTAAAAGGACAACCTGTAAGTGTTAAAATGATGGTTGTGGTGATCCTTTCGAGGGAAACTCTTGAAGGCCAGAAAGATGCTATGATGGAGACCTCTTGGCATCTACTCTGCCTCCCTTTTCCCCATTCTACAAAAAGCGAATAAAACCTGACAAGTCATTTGTGAAAGGGTAGTATCCCTACGCCTAGAATTGCTTGGAAGGATTTACAGTAGGCCAAAGAGTTGGATCAGTACCATTTTGGAGTAAAGTGTATAGTAATTACTGGTTTTATGTAGACATCATCATGAGCTCTTTTGTTGCTTAGTGATTTCTTCAGTGGAATTGCTGAAACTAAAAATGAAGTAAATATAATTCAAATTACTTTGATAGATTGATAAGTGGTCAGAAACAAAGTAAATTACAAATGGGCGCGTGTGGAGCAGCAAACCTGAGAGAAAAATTAACTATGACAATATAAAATATAGAACTGATTTTTCTATATGATGGAAGAAAAAGATCTAAAGTTCAAAGTAGATACACAAGCCAAAAATACAGAACCATACCTTATAAAACAAACATATCAAAGGTATATAAATTGAAACTTACCATGTAATAACTATGACTTAATCCTTTTAACTCTGTGCTGTGTCCGACTTTGTTGGAGAACCTTATCTTCCTTTGATTTTTACATTTCAAAGGGAATATAGAGAATTTACAAGATATCCTTAAAATCATGCAAAATATTGGAAAGTTAGAGCTCACAGCGATGGTAGTGGTGGGAGATTAAGAGAATGAAGTTATTTATTATGAGCAGAAACAGTTGAATGGTTGAAGGAGAGTTGAGAAGACTGTTCATGTGTCCGAAGAATTTTTCTTAGAGGATTTTGAGAAGATATTTTTCATATTGGTTAAATACATGATTAGAAGGACTAAGCTTCATTGGAACTTGAATGAAAGTCAGAAATCTGTCTGAAATGGTTCAGTGGTCTTCCTAAAATGAGGTGGCAAAAGCAATAGGGGCAATAGACAGATTGACTTCCCAAGAATCTGCTGTAAAAATGCTCTTATCTGGATCAGTCTAACCTATTAAATTCGTAGTTTAACTGATAGCAGGATACTGTGGAGAGTAGTTGTAGCTTTAAAGAATTG